TGATTGATCCCTGCCCACGGCAGCAGGGAGTGGCTCTGTAAATTGGCTTGTTGTATTCAACGAGAAACAAAATGCCTCCTTGCTTTTTCATGAGGTTGTAAGTTTTCAGTCCATTTTGTCATTAGGAGACCACAGGGTTCTCTGATTTAAAAGAATAATCATAATAAAATAAAATGAAGTGGCCCGGAGGGAGAGCTCAGATTTCAACAGTTGGTGTAGTTTATGTTCCCCATAGCTGGAAATCTCTCTTTGGGGCTAAATACCCATTTAAACATGTCAAATCATTTGCTAATGGGTCTCATCCTGGTGGGGTATTGAGGGATTTACCACTGTAATCACAGGCATTAAGTTCAAAGGAAGGTCCCTCATTCCCATCCCATAAGCAGTAGCTCAAGATGGTCTGATGGTGGTCCTGCTTCTGGTAGGACTAAATACTCATACTGTGTTTGGATTTCTGGATTGACTCAGGATGTCAGAGCTGGCAAAAAATCTTGAGTCCAACCCTCTGATTTTATAGCTGATTTGTAGGCACACGGATGGAAAATGACGCATCCAAAGTCATCCATTTTACACTTCTGCTATGACCAATGGTTATAACCCTACATCCCTTAAAGCAGAGTGAGTTTCAACTAAATAAAGTTAGTTTAAACTAGACTAAAGTAGGGGCAGCTAGGTGGTGCAGTGGATAGAGCACCGGCCTTGGATTCAGGAGGACCTGAGTTCAAATCCGGCCTCAGACACATAACACTTACTAGCTGTGTGACCCAGGGCAAGTCACTTAACCCCATTGCCTAGCCAAAACAAAAACAAAAACAAATAAACTAGACCAAAGTTTTCCTGGATTGGAGGTGATTCAGTGGTTGAAGCTTGACTAGGGGGAATGGAAGTTTCTGCTGGTCATACTTTGTCACTGAGTTGGAGACTCTATGATAGGTGATGTGCCTCTGGTCTGACAGGTTCATCATGAAGTCGGCCATAGGGCAATAACTTTTTCAGCCACATCAGCTCATGAAGACCTACTGTGCTAAGACACGCAATCTCTATGGGTGGAGGGAAAGCTCACACCAATGGAAGACTGAAGGAATTTAAATCATTATTTAAGTGCCTTCTTCTGATGACTGGATTGGCAAAGTGGAAATAGAGTTATACTTGCAGTCAGAAGACCTAGGTTCAGATACTCCCCAAACACTGACTGATGAAGGCATTTTTGCCTGTATTTGCCTGAAACAACTCTCTGCTAGCTAAGTCAAAAGCAACAAGGTATTATGGAAATCCAGGACTGAAACATGGTGAACATCAATGGAAGCAGAAGTGAAACAGAATAATTGTCATTGGAGATTTCTGCAGACCATTTGCAGGGTAAGGATGAGCAGCGTGGCAGACAAATAGTGGGCATGGAGCATGATGGGAGATATAGTGTTAAGGGACTTCAGTTATCCAGACAACTGCTGGAACTCTTCCCAATATAGAACAGCTAGTAAGTGCATGATTTGTTTCCACGCTAATTTCATCCTTCGAAAGGTAGAAAAGCCAGCAAGGGGAGTACTATTCTTGACCTGCTCTCAGCTAACGGGATTGAATGGGGCGGGCATGATGGGAGCTTTGAGAAGGGAGCATTTCATCTTAGAGTTTGTGATAGAGAATGAGGAGAATCCAGCCATGCACCTTTGATTTTGAGAAAATGGATTTTGAGGGGTTAGAGGAAAGATAGGTAGGACCCTGTGGGATAAAATTCTATAGGGAAGCCAGGCCAGGGGCGATAGAAGCTCTCAACGATGAGATTCTGAAGATACAAAGAAAAATGATTCTGACGAGGAGGGAAAATTGGACATTGTCTAAACACATTGATGTGGATAAACAGAGACATGCCAACCAATAGGGCTTTGCTTTTCTCTTTTCTTTTTTCTTTAAAGAATCATCTTACCATCCTGTAAGAGTAGTTTCAGGAGACTTACAGTTTAGAATAGTGAGAAAAACCAAGAACCCCCCAAAAGATAGTTTTATGCAAGATCTAATTGGTAGAAAATTTTTTAAAAATCAAAGCGATACCAATATTTCTTAGGATGGATAAAATGATAATAATTAACCACAGAGACAGAAGAGCTGTTCAATTTGTATTTTTCTTGTTGCTCTGCCAAGAAAAATGACTTAGAACTGGAAAGGTCAGACCAAAGATGGTTAATAGGGAGTTGCTACCAAGCTAGGGTGGGGTGGGGTGAAGGGATGGGGGGGAGGGGAGACCAAGAGAATATCTAGCAGTCCTTGATGAGCTCAACTGGCCCAGCACAGAAGAATTCTAGCCTTGGGGATTGGAAGAGCTGCTAAATGTGATGCTACCAGCCATCTCTCAGAGATCTTGGAAAAGCCAGTCAGGCAACAAGCCTTATAATGGGAAATATACTACAGGATTGAAGAAAGGCAATTGTCCTGATTAATTTAAAAAAAAGATTATGGAAATGTTTTGCATAACTGCACATGTATAATCTATGTCAAATTGCTTGCCTTCTCAAGGGGGGGGAGAAAGGAGGGAGGGAGAGAATTTAGAACTAAAAAAAAATTAAATGTTAAAAAAAGATGACAGTAGAGCATGCAAAATATAGGTCAACGAACTTGACCTAGATTTTCTGGTAAAATCCTAGAATATTTTAGGGGTAGGTCATTAGCAAATAGGCAAAGGAAGTAGTGATCTCAAAGAGCCAGCATGGCTTAATCAAATAAAGGTCATGCCAGGCTAACATTGTTTACTTTTGGCTCGGTCACTGACTGATTAGATCAGGGAACAGCTGCAGATTTAGGTTAGTGGGGATGGGCAGATCATATGATGATTTTCTGAGAATAGGGCAGACTTGAGTGTGTGTGTGTGTGGGCAGCAGGGAAGCAGCCAGTAGATGTGGAGAGAATGAAGATAAGTGACAGTGGTAAGGATAAGAGGGCCATTCTGCTGGAGAGGCCGGGATGGAATGGGCTCACGTGTCCAGGTAGAGAGGTTGGCCTTGGAAGGAGAAGGACCAGCTCTTCATGTGAGGTAGGGAGGAAGGAGGAGATAGTGGCAGAAGGCATCTCAGTGATTTGGGAGGAGAAGCAAGGGGGGAGAAGAAGATGTTCTAGGTAAATAGCCTCATTTTTTTTTCAGTGAAATATGAGACAAGGTTCTTAGCTGAGAGGGTGGAGAGAGGAATGGCCATGAGAGGTTTGAGGAGGAAGGAAAAAGTTTGGAAAAACGGCTATGAGGAGTAGGAGAGAAAGTAAATTGTTGATGTATAGTCATTTTTCAGTTGTGTCTGACCCTGTGTGACCTCATATCGGAGTGGTTTGCCATTTCCTTCTCCAGTTCATTTTATAGATGAGGAAACTGAAGCAATTATGGTTGAGTGACTTGCCCAAGGTCATACAGCTAGTAAAAGTCTGAGGCCAGATTTGAACTCAGGTCTTCCTAACTCCAGTCTTGGTGCTCTATACGCTGTGCTGTAGCTAATTAACTAGTGAGTTAAATGGGAGGGGGGCATAAATGGACTGTCTTGTAGCAGTGAGGGCCCAGTTGAGATTATGTAACTCATTTAAATTGAACCCAAATGGGATGGTTTCATGATTTTCTCCAGCTTCGTTCAGCAGCACCAGTGGGAGTGAAAACAGTGGATGGTGGAAGTAACCCAAGGCTGAAGCTAGGGATAAGGGGCAAGGGACTAGAGAGAAGAGCCCAGTGTAAAGTTTTAACTGGTTCGCCAAGGGGCCAAGAGAGGCAAGGGAGAAGAGCATAGCTAGTGCAGTGGTGATGGCCTGGGAAAGAACAGAGGGGTCATGCAACTGGATGTCACAGTGAGAATGAAGAAGGTTTGAGGTTTCTCAGCCCAGGGAGAGGTGGAATGATAACAGATCAGATAAGAGACCTTCAGAGTTCATGAACATGGAAGTGGAGCATTTGGGGAGTACAATCATAGGTCACGCAGATGGAATCTTTGGTACTGGAAGGGGCCTTGGCCTATACTTAAATTAAGAATATGTTCTAAACTTAGAAAAGTTATCCGGCTTGAAAAGTTCTGCAGAAGGAAACCTTCAGTGAGGAGGAACCCACTTCACCATGAGGCCTGTTTGGACAGCTCTAATCATTAGGAAGCACTTCTAACCTTCATTTGCTTTGTTACCATTTCCACATAGGTTCAGGACTGAACAGCAGGGTGAGGGGAAGCTGTAGAGCACCTAGAAAAACATGAAGAGCTTCCAGTGATCCCGAGCTTACCTCTAGCACAAAGTAAAGTATCATTTTAATGCCTTCTGGTATCCTTCTAATACCTTTCTAGTGAGAGAGGTGGCATGGAGTAATGGAGAGAACCAGAATCCCACTTCTGGCATCTACCCACTGTGTGACCCTAAGCCAATCACTGGACCTCTCAGTGCTCTAAGGTAGCTCTCCAAGGTTCTACAAGTTGCAGCATAGGTGCTGACTAGCAGTGGTGGACGGAGATTCCTTGAAGGGAATTCCTTATGCCAATGAAATCCCAAGTTTGTTAAAAAAAAAATTAAAAATTATTCTGGTTGAGAGGCGGAATGGAAAAAGGAATGAGGAAGATCTGGGTTCAAATCACAAGGTCATAGATGGCTTTGTGACTATTAGGGCCCCAGCTTACCCTCAAGGCCTAGCCATTAGAGGTGAATTTCTGACCTGCATTAATGGAGGGAGTTTTCACAAAGGGAGGTCCCTACATCTTTGAAATTGCAAGCCCAAATCCCACAAAAAGAAAACATCCTTCTGGTGATATTTTATGACTTCAAAGCACGGCACATCATAATCTCTGTATCATCGAAACTTTATTTATATAAGAACAAAATTCACAAGAGAGTGTCTCAAATTAATTAGATAATAAATATTTGAATAAATATAAATAAATATAAATTACTTTTCAACATGCTTCCACAACAACTTAAAAAGGTATAAATAAATATTTCTGAATAAATATTTCTGAATAAATATTTCTGAATACATTCAAGTGTTCCATATTTCAGATAACATTTAGGTACAGAAATAGCTTATATATACTTTTTTTTCTATCAAAGTGAGAGAAAGAGTAAGATGATTGGTCAGAACATTCATAGTCACTGGTAATTTTGGTCAAGAAAACCAAGATAATTCCATCCATTGTAAACTTAGTGAAGTACATTGATCCAATGAATGGTTCATATCGAGAACAACCACGTCCTTCACGGACCATGCTATGGAGAATGTAAACAAAGGCAATATAAATAGAATAATTTAAGCAATATTAAATAGACCCCAGTCAAACCCAGCCCTTCCCTAGTTCCCCAACCCACTCCAATAAAAATCGCTATTGGTCACTATCTTAGAGACATTTCAAAGGAATGTCCCTGATGGTGACAATCTTTGAGATCCAGGCTTTACTGTTATCCCGAAGATCTAAAGTCATCGGGTGAGGAGCCCTTCACGAAGAAGCGGTCAGGAAGCTCATCATTCTATTGATGGTCACGGCCCGGATTCTGAAAGCGTGAAGGAGGATGCAGAGCTTGACCTTAGTCTTGTAAAAGTCAGGTTCTTTGGGTGAAGAGACCAGTGGCGCATTCTCACTGTTGAAATTCAGGGCCTAGGACAGTAAAGATAGAGCGCGGCATAGAATGGGTTCCAAAACGAAAACAAATCCAGCCATGATAGGTTACCATCACAGACCTAGAGCTGGACAGGACCTCAGAGATCATCCAGTCCAGCCCTCCTCATTTTACATATATATTGTACATAAGGTCTAGAAGAAGGAATTTACTTGCTCAAGACATACCTATAAGAAGTGGCTAAGCCAAGCTTTCAACCCAGGTCCCTTAACTTCTCAGCCACTGCCCTCTCCCCCATCCAATGCTGTCTTCTCATTGATTTCCCAGATCCCACGCCTGATCCCCCCAATTGTCTACCTAGAGACAAGGACCATTAGAGATCTTTGGAAAGTCTCTAGAAGCCCATTTGGAAACCGTCACCTGGGAGCTGGCTTCTGCAAAGGAACGATCCAACGAAGATGGCACCTGCTGCCATTCCTGATTATTTTTATGTGTGTTACATGAACAATTGTACTCACTTTAGAATTGGAATTGATTCACGTAATTAATCAGAACTGTCTGTCTTTGTAATCTCCTGTCACTGACGAGTCTCCATTCAGTCCTTCCCCAGGGTTAGCTTTTTCTCCCATTTGAAATGGATTTTTACATACCTTGTGTTTTCCTAAGTCAAATCAAGTCAAAAAGTATTTATTAAGTGCCTACTGTGTGCCCGGATACAAAAGAAAGACAATCTTTATCAAGCTCACACTCAAATGGCAGGATGCCATATGCCAATAACTAGGCTACAGAGAAGATATAGAGAGGGTAGATGGAAGGTAATTTGAGAGGGAATGGCATTAGCAGATGAAAGAGTTGAAATACATGTTGCATCCCCTCCTAGTAGGCTGCAAGCTCTTTAAGGGCAAGGGACTGTTTTGGTTTTGTCTTTGTATTTTCAATGTCTAGCACACAGAAGGCACTTAATAAATGCTGGGTCACGGGTTGAGTGACTTGTCTGTGGTCAAGAGCACATAGAAGGCACTTAATAAATGCTGGGTCACAGGTTGAGTGACTTGTCTATGGTCAATAGCACACAGTAGGCACTTAATAAATGCTGGGTCACAGGTTGAGTGACTTGTCTGTGGTCAATAGCACACAGTAGGCACTTAATAAATGCTGGGTCACAGGTTGAGTGACTTGTCTGTGGTTGCACAAGGTTATTTTGGAGGTCAAATTCTAACCCAGTTCCTCTGACTCCACAGACAATGCATTTTCCTTGGTAGCACACTGCCATCTTATCTATTTACAAGATGTACTACCTCCCACACAGCTAGGTGGCACCATAGTGCACAGAGTGCCAGGTCTAGAGTCAGGAAGACTTCTTTTCCTGAGTTCAAATCTGGCCTCAGACACTTAGGAACTGTGTGACCCTGGGCAAGTCACTTAACCCTATTTGCCTCAGTTTCCACATCAGTAAAATGAGCTGGAGAAGGAAATGGCAAACCACTACAGTATCTTTGCGAAGAAAACCCCAAATGGGGCTATGAAGAGTCTGACATGACTGAAAAATGACTGAACAAGAACATTGGGCTGAATTTTATTATGAGGACATTTGAAGTACTTTCTTCCTATCTACTACTATGCTGGGCACAGCTGGGTATCATTCAATAAATACTGTGGGTACTAATTGTGGGTATTAATAAATCAAGGACTCCTGTTCTCTTGCTATCCTTGAGCTCCTGGGCAGCAAGGGGACTTTCACCTTTCTTTGTATTCCCAGAGCTTAGCACAATGCTTGGCACACAGCAGTCATTTAATACATGCTTAATAAATGCTTTTTGACTGGCTGACATATAATACAAGTAGATAAACCTGAGCAATAGTTTTTTTTTTTACCTGCATCATCTCATCAATAGCAGCCAACATATTTTGGTCCAGAGAAATCTGTCTTGTAGGGTCCTTTGCAAGAGTTTCCTTGATCACATTAAACTCAGCCTTATAGATCTCCAGGTCCTCATAGATGCTTTTAAGGCAACAGTGCTGCAGGGCATAACACAAAGATTAAGGAAACACAGAAATTCACCAAGAACTTTAAAAAAAATCACAACGGGGAGTTTCCTGTTTTACCTTAACACAAAGTGTCTTTCTGGAAACCAGGCAGCTTCCATTCTAGAATCAGAAAGGTCAGATGACAGTGATTAAATTTTGCACTGATGGGTTAGAAATGAAATTTTTTTTGTAGAGAAAACAAAAAGCAAGTGTTACTTCTACCTTGGTTAATTCTGGTGGTATGCAGTCCCTCACTGTGCTGGTTCTGACTTCAGTGATATCTTCATGATCAATTTCTTGCAAGGAACAAGAGTACAGTTCAAGTTTTTGTCTTGCCTGTAGAAATAAAGGCACCAGGTAGATCAGCCTCTCAAATAGCCCAACTGGCGAATTTCACTAGAGTATTAGGGAAGTAGGTCATGGTGGGTCAGCTTGGCGCAAATATAGCTGCCCTGGCTTTCATCCTCTTGTCCTGTTCAAAATTTTGTTCAACCACAAGAAGACACTATTTCATTTCAATCATGTGCTCCTCCCACTTTGGACATGGTTTTTTCAATGACATGTTTTCCATTATACAAACACCATAAATCGTTTCAACAGACTATTCTCATTAGAACCTACCCTTCTTTGATACTTCTGTGATCCCTTCTGGGATACTTGCTTATGGCAAATAACTTCCCCCCAACCCCAGACGAATCTTTTTTCAAGTGTAACTTTCAAAGAAGGAAACAATAAGGTTGCTTTAATTTTTTGTTGCTGTTTTCACCTATGAGTTCATGTGTGTAGGGAACTTCAGCTATGGAAATTCCCTCCAATGAAGCAGATTGGCAATTCATTTGTAACTTCTGAGATCACAGTACAACTGTTCATAGAATCATGCTTTTAGAACTGGGAAGAACTTTAAAGATCTTAGGTCCTGGAGTTTTATATCAAAAAGGCAGAAATCAACTTCTTCCTCTTCAAAGATACATTGTTTCTTGTTCCTTGCAAAACAAGTAGCCATGGGTCATTTCGGCACTTCCCTCCAGCGAGTTTGACAAGGTGAATGCTATGAATAATCTGAGACTAAATACCAGAGCCTTTTCAACCCAGTTACTGTTTCTGTGAACTAACAACTCTTTCATTTAGAACATATTTTCCTCTTAAACGGAAACAGAATGGCTTGTCCTGATTGGATTTTGAAAAAACTAAAGCAGTGTATAATACATCCAATCAAAACTTTTTTTTTTCTCTTTGAAATGCTATTTCTCAGTCTGGTTAGCATCACTGGTAGGCAGCTGCTATGTGGCACAATGGATAAAACACTGGGTCTGGGGTCAGGAAGACCTGAGTTCAAATTCAGCCTCACATACTTCCTAGTTATGTGATCCTGGGCAAGTCACTTAACCTCTGTTTGCCTTAGTTTCCCCATCAATAAAAGAGGAATAAAAATAGCGTCTACCTCTCAGAGTAGTTGTAAGGACCAAACGAGATACTAATTGTAAAGTGCTCCGCACAAATGTACCATATAAATGTTAGCTATTATTACTTTTTTTTAGTCAAGATTGGACTCAGAGACAGCTTCACTTGGTTTCCCACTAGAAAACGTTAAAAGGGAAAGCCTGGGTCGAAAAGAGCCTTGTGGCACAGAAGTGAGGTGGAAAGGTATTTATATAATAATCAACAAGAAACCACCCAAGGAAAGTTTTAATACAGTTTCTGGGACACATGGAAATGTCAGTTTTTCTGCAACACATACTACATTGAGCACTTCCAAAAAGATATTGCTTGCCTTTGTATTTTAAAATGAGAAATCCAGATGTTATCAGGAGTAGGAAATAAGGTCGGGAGTTTATGTGAGGGGGTGGGGGCAAGGTCTGCCTATGCTTTGTGTGGAAATCCCCTCCATAGCCTGGCAGTTAGTTGGGAGTCTCTCTTTAGAGAGTGGTCCCCAGGAGTGAAGGTTTGAGCATAGGTCTTCTTTCCTTCAAGTGGCGTCCTCAATTCACTACGCCCTGATGCTTCTCAGATATATCTGAACTTGGGGAAAACACAGCCCACTTCACTTTCAAGATCTCCCAGTTTAAAGCTCTAATGCAAGGATGGGGAACCTGAGGTCTGGAGGCCACATGTGGCCTTCTAGGTCCTTGGGTGCAACCTTTTGACTGAGTCCAAGTTTTACAGAACACACCCTTTTTATTAAGGGGATTTGTTCTGTGAAGTTTGGATTCAAAGGGGTCAAGATTTGAGGACACAGAGGGCCGTATGTGGCCTCGAGGCTGCAGGTTCCCCATCCTTGCAAAAAGTGTTAAGTGCTATCAGCAGGGAAAAGACCATGCCAAGGTAACAGGGCAAACGAGAATTTCTGCTCTGAATTAGTTATCCATGTTACCACCGGCCCGAGATATTGCGAACACCCTTGTCACTATACCTGCCATTTCCACAATGACAATATAAATTCAGCAGCACCCTCCTCTTGGCCAATTTTAGAGCAATTCTTAAGCAAGCAATTGATCGATTAGTGCTATTCACTAATCTCTCCTTTAATGAGAGTTAACCAATTGATGAATTCCCCCCCCCCCTTTTAAGAGTGAGGGAACTGCGGCTGACAGCCATGTGCGACTTTCAAGACACATAACTTTGAAAAACTTGAGAACTCTGACCAAGGTCAAGCACAGCTCCAGAGGACCAATGTGGAAGTGAGCCATCCACATCCTAGCAGAGAGATGACGGATTTAGGGAACAGAATGAGATGTTTCTGGACATTTTTTGACGTGGCCAACATGGGAGTGTGTTTTGCTGAACTCTGAATGCTATTTATAAAGTTTTGATTTTCCTTCTTTTTTCCCCAGTTGGGGCAGGGAAGAAGAGAAAATAAATGATTTTTACTTGAAAAAATTAAAAACTTTAAAATTACTTTGGCCCATTTAGGCATTGGCAAGTAAAGAGGGGCACATTTAAAAACTACAAGATCCTAATATATCATAGAGGAAAAGAATCTTTGCTTTACCTTTTGAAGAGTGTTGCTTACAGCCTCCAACAGGTTCTTGGAGCCTCTGAGACACTGGGGCATGCTGGGTTCAGGCTGTGTCACAGGAAGGCTTTTGGCCCAGTTGACTTGGCTAAGGCCAATAAGTGTGGCAATGAGGAAGATATCTGAAAGAGAGGGTGGTCATCTCCAGCTGCCCTTTGCTCCTCTCTACTGTCCTTCTCCTGCCCCAGAACTCTCTCATGTCTTATTTAAGCTTCCTTCCCTTCACCACTCACCCCCTCTCCTATGCCAACTGCCAACTGGTTCATCACCTTTTCTGTGTCCTGCCTCTTCTCTATACTGTTCTTCCCTTCTCTCCCTATTCTCTCCCCTAGCCCTATCATATTCTTCAAATCTCTCTTTTTTCCCCCCAAAAAGAGAGATTCTTTGCTGTAAGTTTCCACTGTTAGAGGGTAGCATTTCTGTGGGCATTGACACCATGTGGCAAGCAAAGGATTTAAGTGAGGATGCTTCATTCCTGCCCATCTTTCTTCATCTTTGGGATCTCCACCCAAAGGATTTCTATTTCATCTAGTTACAGGAGACATTCAGTCCTAGGCTGGGACACGTTCTTAAAGGTCATTAGATCCAACCTCTCACTTTCCACAGGAGGAAGCTGAAGCCTGTGGGGGGAGGGGGCTTAAACAAACCCACAGAGGTAGTAAGGAGCAGAGCAGAGATTTGAACTCACAGCTTCAGACTCCAGATCTACCAAACTTTCTCCTTATCATAAGATCACAGATAAAGAGCTCATTAAGTCCAACTCCCTCATGTCGCAGTTGGGTAAACTGAGGCCTAGAGACATCAAGTAACTTCCCAAGTAGCAGAATTGGGATTTGAACCCACACTGTCTCACTCCCGATTCAGCATTTTTCCTACTGTATCATTCATCAACCCCCTTCCTCCATTTCTTTTAACAGATAATGAAAATGAAGACCCAAGCAGGTACTCAAGGTCACATGGGTATTAAATTGTGACATTCGAACTCAGGTCTCCCCTATTCCAGTTCCAGTTGGGCCCATTACAGCACCCTGCTTCTGCCAAAAGGCTGGAGTCTCTCCCAAATCGCATCCCCCCATCCCCTCCATGTCAGCCCTCTCTGCCCCCTTTGCCTGTCTCCTATGCCTAGGCTAGGGCCCGTAGGCTGCAGGGCGGTGCGAGGGGGCGCTGGTCCAGCTGGTTACTCACATCGGAGGCTAGCGTGGCGGCGTGACTCCATGACGGGAGCGCAACGGTGACTGGCGGAGCTGGGCTGGGCTGGGAGCTGCAGCGCAGGTGGGAGCTGGGTTGAAGGTGGACAGGGGGCGTCCCCTTTTATAACAACCTACTGGACTTTCCCGGATCCCCTGGGGCCCCGGACTCTTCTCGTCCCCCTCCCCCTTCTTTCTTTCTTTCTGTCTGTCTCTCCTAAGCTCCGTCTTTCTCTACATCAGCCTCTCGGTCTCACGTAGAACCGGCGGAGCCGGACTCTCTTTCGAATTAAGTCCGCGGGCCGCCCATCCCACTCATCCCGAGACCGAGCTCTGTCAGGGTGACCCATCCCCACCCATCCCCGCCCCGCCCCTCAGATCCCGTCCCGCAGCCAGCCCGGGATCCACCGCTGTAGCCCCAGGGCAAAACCGAAAGCACACCCCGGGGGTGGGGGTGGGGGTACCTGGCACCAGCGGACTCCGGGAAACTGAGCCCAGAGAGCGCAAGGCACTTCTCAGGGGACGCACAGTTACTAGTGTCAAGTGCCACTAGGAACTGGAATGTTCAGCGTCCCGCAGACTGAAGGGTCTCTAGCATTAGCTGCCCCTAGGGCTACAAGACCTGGGTACAAATTTCTTACTACCTGTGTGTGACTTTGGGGGAGACAATCAGCCTCCTTTAGCCTCAGTTTCGAGGGAATTGGTGCCCTCTGAGGCCCTTGAAATTTATGATCCTATTTGAACCTCTAGTTGTATTTCATTAGGTCGGGGGGGGGATGGGACGGGAGTGTCAATGAACTTTTTTTTATATATAACTATTTCAATGTTATTGGTTACCTTTGTAATCCTACGTATTTTATGCATTTAAAAACTTTTTTTTTCCTGAGCAAGGCAGTACCAAAATGCCAAAGGGGGTCCATGACAAAGTTAAGAGCAGGTTTTACCCATTAGACTAACACTTTTTTTTGGTCCAGTTCTACTCCATTGATCTTGTGGCCTCACTACCTGCGACGAAGAGGGGGCAGTCAGATTACTATATTGTCACAGAAGAGTGAGGGACTGGATTGGTGATTTTCCAATGTAACGTGTTCATACTATGGAACATGGATCCAAAAAGGGGAAATTCAGTACCATAAATGCAAAGATAGAGGCTTCAGAAAAATCAGCTACACAATCCGAGCTGGGAGAGGCATGCTTATAATTTGTCTGATAACAATAACAACCAGGGGGTTCATACACTAAGCTCAATATGAATCATTAATGTATTTCAATGTAATTGCTTATGTATTTTATGCATTTAAAAACATTTTTTCTGTGAAAGGGTTCTGACAAGGCAGCACCAAAATGCCAAAATCAATACAAATCAGATGATTGTTGTTCATCAGAGACTCCATTTGGGGTTTTCTTGGCAAAGATCTTTGGAGTGGTTTGCCTTTTCCTTCTCCGGCTCATTTGACGGATGAGGAAACTGAGGTAAACAGTATCAAGCTGACTTGCCTACGGTCACAGTTAGTTAAGTGTCTGGGGTCAGATTTGAACTCAGGCAGAGGAGTCTTCCTGACTCCAGGCTGGCACTCTGTGCATTATGGCGCCACCTAGCCGTCCCATTGATGTAATGCGTGAGTCAAAACGGCGAATTGGGCTGCATGAGAGAGGCAAGAGTTAGGGGAGGGACTGGAACTGTGATGTCATTGGGATAGAGAACTCGTTAGATGAGGAAATTCCCTTCTCCAATGCAGGTCAGCCCCTTTTCTGCCAGCTACTCTTGAAGAGTGGCGGGAGAGGCCAGGAGTCCAGAAATCAGGAAGTGATAGTGCCCTAGCACTCCGCCCCGGGTCTGAGCACACCTGCAGTATGTCGCTCCCTTTTGGCCTCTGATGCACAAACAGATGAACAAGGCGCATGGTGTCCCTTCTGGGTCTCTCTGTCATGAACAAGAGGGATTTGATTTGTTCTGTTTGAGTCGAGGCGTAACGCCAGGAACAGCTTTCCACCAAGCTGACTTGTCTCGGGAGGCGGAGGGCTCGCCCTGACTGGAGCAGAGAGTGGGGCCTTCCTTTGGGGGCGTTGATTGGACTGGACCGACGATGGTGTTCCTTCCAACTCGGACTTTCTGGGAACTCTTCCAAGTCTGCAGAGCACTTACGATGTATTGTCTCACTTGAGGCTAGCTCCAGTTCCATGAGATAGGCACTGTCTGGTGTAATTATCCCAACTGGTGAGCTGCAGAATCTGAGGCTCACTCAGGTGAGGTTAGCCGTTCGGGGAGCTCACCTGCCAGTGGTCATGGAGGTAGTTTGTGTCAAAGGGAGGACGGAACCGGGGCTTTCCAACTCCCTCCCCCCTTCCACCATTATAGGCTACCTACCCTATTCTCTGTGTGCTTACAGTCTATTGGAGGGAAGGGCAAGTACATATGACAATATATAGGATAAATATAAAAGTTAACAAATATATATTTATGTGTATAGACAGAGAGAATGGGGGAAGAGAGGGAGGAAAATAGGGGGGAGAGAGAGAGAGAGAGAGAGAGAGAGAGAGAGAGAGAGAGAGAGAGAGAGAGAGAGAGAGAGAGAGAGAGAGATTCAGGCCAGGTTGCAAAGGACAAAAAGCAGGTAAGATGGGGTGCTGGTTTAGAGTAAAAGGTCAAGTGGAATTATTTAGGCTCTTTCACTTTATAAAACTTTAGGCAAATACCTGGACTGGTATAGTGACATCAAGATACCTCTCTTTCCTCAACTGTAAAATGAAGAGGTTGGATGAAATGGGCTCCTATGTCATGGTAGAGTAAAAGGGCCTGTGGTCTCATTGGTATAGGAAACTCCCAGATGAGGAAAGTCCCTCTACCAATTCCGGTTGACATTCTTTTTTCTACTTGTAGTCTTGGAGTACTTAGAGTACTTAGTGCCCTGACCACAGAGAGGTTGTGTTCCTTACATAGGGTGATAGTAAGCATGGGTGAGAGACTACCTCTCTATCCATGACACCAAGTCACTTTGGAGTACAATGAACTGTATCCAGTTCAAATAAAATTTAAAAACACACACATTTGCTAAGTATCTCCTATGTGTGAAGCAATATGCCAGGCTATAGAAGGATGAATGAGACATAATCTTTGCCCTCACTGGGGAAGGGAAAAGAATAAGCATTTAGAGGTAATGCCTACTGTGTTCCCAAGATGAAAGGCTGAGAAAATGCCTTTCCCTTCCTTGTTTGCAGAGATGGGAGCCTATGGGTGGGGAACATTGGTTATGTATCAATCAGTTAGTTTTGCTGAACTCTTTTCCATCTTTCTTTTTTATTCTTTGTTATAAGAGATGATTCACTGTGTAGGGGGAGGGGAGAAATTATTCAGTAAAAACATAAGATATCAGTGCAAATTAAATTGAAATCCCCAAAGACAAGGTGTGGTGAATTCCACGTTGTGAATGTTCCTGTTGGAGACAGCTGCAGAAAAGTCTACAAAGAGCTGGTATTTAGAAAGTGGATTTTTCTTTTTGTATGTTTGCATTGCTCTGCTTAGCCACAATTCTGGGTGGGGTCAGGTGCTAGCTTGGTCAGCCCACATGGATATTCCATCCAGCTCTGCTTTCATACACTGATTTCATTTTCCTAGGGCTGGTTGTGTGTCGCCACTCCTGGGTCATTGTCTTCCCTTTTGGCAGAGGTCTGCCCAACTCCCCTAGAAGAGGACCTAGTTTATTTTTAACCAACCCCCCTCTCCCATCTTGAAACTAGCAACCATGCCCTTGCCCCCATATTGATTCTTTTCTATGCTAAACATCCCCAATTCTTTCAAGCAATCCACACATGGTCAGGTCTTAAGCCTCCTTACTGTACTGGTTTTCTTCCGGATGATGGCATGTCAATGTGCCCCCTAAAGAGTGGCACCAGAACCAAATACAATGCTCAAGAAGTGTGAGCAGCGGTACTATCACCTCCATTCTGCATATATGAAGCCTCTGATTGTGCTAGTAATTTTAAGAAAGCTGTTGTATCACATCATTGACTCATTTGAGCTTGCAATACACTTAGACACCCAGATCTTTTATACATCAACTGTTGTCTACTTATCCCCCCAAATGCTATCTTGTTTTGTGAAATCGGTTTGGGGAACCCAAGCACGTGTATCTCCAGTAAACATCATTTTAACAGAGCAGTGTTCTAGCCAGTGGATATCTTTGTTGATTCTGAGTCTGTTATCCAAGAATCAGCTAATTTAATAGGTTGTGAGCATCTCCAATGATACGTCCAATTAAAGGAAGGAAAGCAGAGACCAGAGACACCACCATGATTTTCTTTTTTAACGTGGCAGATATTTTTAGGAGTTGATTGTTTCAGAGCCCCATTTTTTCTGCACGCTAAAAATTCTCTCTCCTTTTGGATGAATATGACCTCATATTTTTGAATCTAAATTTAAAAAGAATCTTCATTAGATTAGAAAGTACTTTAAAGATTGTAACATAGAGGAGCAAAGACTACATGGAGGTCAAGTTTGACAGCTTGCATTAGTTACAAAAGTTTTCAAAGCATGTCTGAAGTTTTGCATCTTAACGATGATCTGTACTCAGTACCTAAGGTGGACGAAGTCTGAGTCTTAAGTCTACTTCTGTTACCAGATAGCTATTTGACCAAGGTAGGGGTGGATGGGAAATAACATATTGTCTGGGCCTCATTTTCTCATCTAGAACTCTAGAAATGAAGGTGTCCTTAACTTTGGAATTTGGAGATTATATACAAACATGTTAAAAAGGCTCATGAATATGGATGAGACTGGAATTTATAAATTCTCAAATAAAACCTGAAACAATTAAAAAAAATTGAAGGCATCAAATTCCCTAGTGTGGAAATTCTCTAATCATTGTGCACAGAAGGGACTGAAGCCCAGAGAAGCAACAGGCTGGAATGGAAAGGTCCTGAGTTATAGTCCTCTGGACTCTGACATTTTATAAATGCTTTCTAATAGTGTTAGGGGGTGCTTTTCTTTAGAGATGTGTAATTAGAGAATTTTAAAATAGTCTTGTGAGGACATAGTTTAAGGAAGAAAAGGGCAACCTTTCATGTTCAGGCTAGGCCTGGCTCTCCACAGGAGGGCCTTCTCTAGGCCAATATTGCTATAGCCAACAATGACCAGAAAAGGTTTTACTAGATCTAACCCATTTGGAGTGGCACCTACTGAAGACCTGGTATCAGCCATTAATTAGTAAACTGATAACATTTGCCAAGAGCAGTGATAACTGGTTATCCTACTTTGACATCCAGAGCTAAGTGACCCTTAGACTA